TACAAGCCAGGATGCCGCTGGCCCTCTTGGCCACCTGGGCACCCTGCTGCCTCCTATCCAGCCCCCTCTCGACCAACCCCCCCAGGGCCTTTTCCGCCGGGCAGCTTTCCAGCCCCTCTGCCCCACGCCTGGAGCGCTGCCTGGGGTTGTGGTGACCCCAGGGCAGGACCCGGCCCTTGGCCTTGTTGCCCCTCACCCCATTGGGCTGGGCCCATGGCTCCAGCCTGGCCAGGTCCCTCTGCAGAGCCCTCCTTCCCTCTAGCAGATCAAGACTCCCACCCAACTTGGCGTAGTCTGCAAACTTTCTGACGTGCACTCAATCCCCTCATCCAGATCATTGATAAAGACATTAAAAAGAACTGGCCCCAAAACTGAGCCCTGGGGAACACCACTTGTGACCAGATGCCAACTGGATTTAACTCCATTCACCACAACTCTTTGGGCCCGGCCATCCATCCAGTTTTTTTTACCCAGTGAAGAGTACAGCCATCCAAGCCATGAGCAGCCAGTTTCTCCAAGAGAATGCTGTGCGAAATTATGTCAAAGGCTTTACTAAAGTCCATGTAGACAACATCCACAGCCTTTACCTCATCCACTAGGCAGGTCACCTGGTCAGAGAAGGAGATCAGGTTGGTCAAGCAGGACCTGCCTTCCATAAACCCATGCTGACTGGGCCTGATCGCCTGGTTGTCCTGTATGTGCCACGTGATGGCACTCAAGATGATCTGCTCCATAACCTTCCCCAGTACTGCGGTCAGGCTGACAGGCCTGTAGTTCCCCGGATCCTCCTTCCAGCCCTTCTTGTAGATGGGCATCTCATTTGTACCTCAGCTGGGACCTCCCCAGCGAGCCAGAACTGCTGGTAAAGATTGAAAGTGGCTTGGTGAGCATTTCTGCCAGCTCCCTCAGTACCCTTGGGTGGATTCCATCCAGCCCCATAGACTTGTGAGAGTCTAAGTGGTGTAGCAGATCTCTATGAGCCCTCTAAGAAAAAATAAGGCTTAAGGAAATACATTTTTTCAAGTTTACAGACTAGCAGAAGATTTACGTGAAGGAACTGTCATTCTACCTATTTCTTTGTCATTTCGTGAAATCAGGAATTGTGTAGCTGAAACCGGTGAGGATTATTGGTATGCAGTAGGTACTTGACTGCAAGTTCCACAATGAACAGCTGATTTCATCGACCTAGCATCTGGTACATGCTCACGTCTCCATATGGGAATTAAGATTCTAGCACAGTGAATGGTTTTCTAAAATAAAGCATCAAATAAACAGTAGGAGTGGATATCAGTGTAGGAAAAAACCTCACAGTACACACAAAAGAAAAAAGGAGGCCTGAGTACACAGACCTTTTCATGAACTGAAAAACAAAACACACACGCACAAAACACTTTATAACTTGTGCACTGCGAGTATACACTAGACTGTGAGCCATGGATGCTTGTTGACTTTAATTTGGGAGTTTACTCAGGAGCAGCAGAAGCACAAGTGAGTTTAGCAAGCCATTCCAAATTCATGCTAAAAAAGCCCTTGGAGCTGTATGTACACACACCATGCTACAAAAAAAAAAAAAAAAAAAAATCTATTTTAGGGAAGTTACAGGAGTTCCTGTACATGTTGTTGTATCCATCTTGTGAAGCCTTAGTTACCAGAGCCCATCTGCACAGACTTGAGGTAATACTTAAGACATTTATTTCTTGAAGTGGCTTTGACCTTTTAATTACCAGTCCAGTATCTGAGGACCTTCCAGAGTTAGAAGTGTAAAGGCTCACTCACTCTCAAATAATTTCCCTTGTCTTCTGCTGCAGAAATGTCAGTTCTAGAGAGTTACCAGCGGAAAATTCTATAGCAAAGGGTAGGGACAGGCAACAGAAAGCATAGGATTGGGGGCAGGGGAAGGAAGGGAAACACTAACGGACAGATGACAGAAAACAGCTGGGATTATTTCTATTTCTTCAAGGCGTGGAAGGACATGATATAAGTAAAATAGAAACTTTTTCCATCAGTATCACAGCTTACATATCTGCATGAGGAAACAGATTTCCCCTTCTATAACCAATTTATATACTTAGGATCAGCCAGCCTTGTAGAAGTTCTCATTCCAAGAAACTTGTACAAAGCCCTTTAGATACCTGGATAAAAATCTCATGACTGAGAGGGAAAGGCAGACAAACATTTCTGAAGTCTGTTATATTAAAGGTATGAAGGAATGTTTCCTATTTTGCCAGGAAAAGCTTTTGTTTTAAGAATGCAAAAAGTAAACCCCATATCTAGGAGTCACACGGGAGACTAAGCAAAGAAAACCAAAACATTCCTGTTATAATATCAAAAAGGAGAAACAGCTAACATAACAGTAGTCGGGACATTTGGGATCAAACACTCGGTGGCTTAGAAGCTGAGCGTTACCTTGGTCGCTTTTCACAACAGCATGCCGATGCTACGCAAACACCCTGAACATCGCAAGCCATGCAGAACAGATCTGGGGTTCTGCCTCCTCCAGTCTATGGCGTTCGCTCAGGACCTGGAGTGGGACTGCCCAAACCCAACAGAAACCCACAGCAGCAATGGTCACCCCGTTTAAGTTCAGAAATGCCAGGTAACTCATTCCATTGATAAATCTTGGCCTAGAAAACAGGGAAGCGACTGAACTAAAATCTGCTCCTGACTCTCAATGCACATATAAAAGAAAAAAAAAAAAAGCATACAGGAGGACTTTTTCTTATCTGCAAAGCATAAAAATAACCCAAGACAGTCAGCTCATCCATAAACATCCCCTCTAAATTTTCACCTTTCGCTACACGCAGAATTATCACAGTAGAAACCCCTTGGGCTGATCTAGCTCTTCCAGTAAACTGTGTTCCTGTATAGTAAGAATATGCTTTATCAACATAAGCACATTATACCAGAAAAGTGAATTCACGCTTATTCTGGCATAACCGTTTTCTCTGAAGAAGCTCTATTCTTCATTGATGGTTTTGGACAGTTTCAGCGCTAGCAGAACACACGGAGAAACCCCTTGTCCTATAGGGCTTCATGAAAATACCCCTATAAATGACCAAAATTGCTTAATTAACAGATTCCTTTGTCTTGGGTTAAAATGAGAAAAATACATTTTTTTTTTTTAAAAAAAAAAAAAGAAGAGAAAAGAAAAAGAAAAATCACAATGCACATCTACAACTACGGATCATTCAATTTAAGCAAGTGGTTTTATTAACACAACCTCAAGTGGAAACGCCAGCCAGAAGGGGCCTTTTGGAGCTTAGTTTGTGTCATGATCTAGGAATAATGAAGTTGAAAACGATTCCAACATTTACTGCTGCTAAACTTCTCACACTGAATCACCAGGTTTACTATACTCTATAACGAACATACTTTGTCCAAGTAGACAAGCTCCTGAGATCTCATGTGAGTCTCGCAAACAAAATCAGAGATGATTTCCTAACATTCAGAGCAGAGGCAGCCATGGAAAATGGGGGAAGGAAGTGGGGGAAACACATCTAAAGGAAATACAGAGCAGTTTCCCTTTCTTCAGAGAAACTTTTAGTCCCATTTCAACACTATGGTTGTAAGATTTAATAAGAATAGACATTAAACAGCACCAGTCATCACATCAGTATTCGTGCAATTGTTTATGACACTGATAGAGAGTCCTCAGCAACTCAAAAGGCAAGTTGAATAGAAACCTCACCAAAACCACAAATTTCACTCCAACCAGCATCAGCCTCTGCCCATCATCCCTTCAAGCAGATGCACTGGTTTTGGCCAGACACGCAGCTGAGCTCGGTGCAGCAGCTTTAACCCGGATCCTTGTACAGAGGCAGCGGCTGAACACTGAAACCAGCAGGTTGGGAGGGACTGACGGCAATTCCCAATGGCTCTGCTGCGATCACAGAGGTCTGACAAACCTTACACCTGGCTTGGCCAACAGTCAACCCCGCACAAAGATGGCCTGAAGCTTCTCGAATTCGGACACCTACTTTTTTTTTTTAAAAAAAAATCTTTTTCCAGGCTGCAGTGATCCATGACCAACACCAGCACGCCAGCTACATCTCTAGTACAGGCACGTTATACAAGCACGTCGTGTTATACTTTGGCAACAGTCATCTGTGAGAGCACAGCTTTATGCTGCATCTGCATCCGTACTCACAGTGCTTTGTCAGTAAAATATCCTGGTAAAGAGCCTCCTACAAACAGACTGGCTATCAATCATGAAAAACACTGTGCAGAAGCCTTCTGGATGAGTCTCAAGAAGCGTATCTGTTCTGTTCGCAGTCACGAGATGATGCCACGGTACTCTCTGTCACGAAGAGTTCCATTCATCCTCCAACTCCGCTCCAAGCTGTTCTCCCTCCCTCCTCCCCTACACACTGATGTGAAGCATACTACGTGCTGCGCGTTGGCCTGGCTGTACTTCTGCAATGATCTTATAT